GACAAGGGGTGTTCGTCTGTATATATTTGTAAACAACAGCTGGTGCACAAAATCAAATACTAAGGAAGTCTCAAGGTTTTGCTCGCCTGAGGTAAAATATTTTATGATAAGCTGTAGACCACACTATTTACCAAGAGTTTTCATCTATATTTTTCATAGCTGTCTATTTACCACCACAAACCAATGCTGGCATTAAGATTGCACTGAATGAGCTGTATAAGGCCATAAGTGAACAGGAAAACGCTCATCCAGAGGCAGCGCTCCTAGTGGCCGGGGACTTTAATGCAGGGAAACTTGCATTAGGTAGAACTCAGTTCTACCTAATTTCTACCAGCATGTTAAATGTGCAACTAGAGGAAAAAAAACTCTAGACCACCTTTACTCCACACACAGAGACACATACAAAGGTCTCCCTCGCCCTCCATTTGGCAAATCTGACCATAACTCTATCCTCCTGATTCCTGCTTATAAGCAAAAACTAAAGCAGGAAGAACCAGTGACTCGGTTAATACAAAAGTGGTCAGATGATGCAGATGCTAAGCTACAGGACTGTTTTGCTAGCACAGACTGGAACATGTTCCGGGATTCTTCAGATAGCATTGAGGAGTACACCACATCAGTCACTGGCTTCATCAATAAGTGCATCGATGACGTCGTCCCCACAGTGACCGTACGTACATACCCCAACCAGAAGCCATGGATTACAGGCAACATCCGCACTGAGCTAAAGGGTAGAGCTGCCGCTTTCAAGGAGCGGGACTCTAACCCGGACGCTTATAAGAAATCCCGCTATGCCCTCCGACGAACCATCAAACAGGCAAAGAGTCAATACAGGACTAAGATTGAATCGTACTACACCGGCTCTAACGCTCATCGGATGTGGCAGGGCTTGAAAACTATTACAGACTACAAAGGGAAGCACAGCCGCCAGCTGCCCAGTGACACAAGACTTCCAGACGAGCTAAACCACTTCTATGCTCGCTTCGAGGCAAACAACACTGAATCATGCATGAGAGCACCAGCTGTTCCGGATGACTATGTGATGACGCTCTCCGTAGCCAATGTGAGTAAGACTTTTAAACAGGTCAACATTCACAAGGCCGCAGACGGATTACCAGGACGTGTACTCCGAGCATGTGCTGACCAACTGGCAAGTGTCTTCACTGACATTTTCAACATGTCCCTGACTGAGTCTGAAATACCAACATGTTTCAAGCAGAACACCATAGTCCCAGTGCCCAAGGACACTAAGATAACCTGCCTAAATGACTACCGACCCGTAGCACTGACGTCTGTAGCCATGAAGTGCTTTGAAAGGCTGGTCATGGCTCACATCAACACCATTATCCCAGAAACCCTAGACCCACTCCAATTTGCATACCGCCCCAACAGATCCACAGATGATGCAATCTCTATTGCACTCCACACTGCCCTTTCCCACCTGGACAAGAGGAACACCTACGTGAGAATGCTATTCATTGACTACAGCTCAGCATTCAACACCATAGTGCCCCCAAAGCTCATCACTAATAATAATAATAATAATAATAATAATAATAATAATAATACTAAGCTAAGCTAAGGATCCTGGGACTAAACACCTCCCTCTGCAACTGGATCCTGGACTTCCTGACGGGCCGCCCCCAGGTGGTAAGGGTAGGTAACAACACATCTGCCACACTGATCCTCAACACGGGGGCCCCTCAGGGGTGCATGCTCAGTCCGTCCTGTACTCCCTGTTCACCCATGACTGCATGGCCAGGCACGACTCCAACACCATCATTAAGTTTGCCGACGACACAACAGTGGTAGGCCTGATCACTGACAACGATGAGACCGCCTATAGGGAGGAGGTCAGAGACCTGGCCGTGTGGTGCCAGGATAACAACCTCTCCCTCAAAGTGACCAAGACAAAAGAGATGATTGTGGACTACAAAAAAAAGAGGACTGAGCACGCCCCCATTCTCATCGACAGGGCTGTAGTGGAACAGGTTGAGAGCTTCAAGTTCCTTGGTGTCCACATCACCAACAAACTATCATGGTCCAAACACACCAAGACAGTCGTGAAGAGGGCACGACAAAGCCTATTCCCCCTCAGGAGACTGAAAAGATTTGGCATGGGTCCTCAGATCCTCAAAATATTCTACAGCTGCACCATCGAGAGCATCCTGACTGGTTGCATCACCGCCTGGTATGGCAACTGCTCGGCCTCCGACTGCAAGGCACTACAGAGGGTAGTGCGTACGGCCCATTACATCACTGAGGCCAAGCTTCCTGCCATCCAGGACCTCTATACCAGGCGGTGTCAGAGGAAGGCCCTCAAAATTGTCAAAGACTCCAGCCACCCTAGTCATAGACTGTTCTCTCTGCTACCGCACGGCAAGCAGTACCGGAGTGCCAAGTCTAGGTCCAAAAGACTCTCAACAGCTTCTACCCCCAAGCCATAAGACTCCTGAACTGCTAATCATGGCTACCCGGACTATTTGCACTGCCCCCCACCCCCACCCCATCTTTTAACTCTACCCACATGTACATATTACATCAACTACCTCAACTAGCAGGTGCCCCCGCACATTGACTCTGCACCGGTACCCCCCCTGTATATATAGCCTCCCTACTGTTATTTTATTTTACTTCTGCTCTGTTTTTCTCAACACTTTTTTGTTGTTGTTTTATTTTACTTTTTTCTTAGAAAATAAATGCATTGTTGGTTAAGGGCTGTAAGTAAGCATTTCACTGTAATGTCTACACCTGTTGTATTCGGCGCATGTGGCCAATAAAATTTGATTTGATTTTTGATTTGATCAAAGCTGGGACCAAGAGACTGAAAAACAACTTCTATTTCAAGGCCATCAGACTGTTAAATAGCCATCACTAGCCGGCCTCCACCCAGTACCCTTCCCTGAACTTAGTCACTGTCACTAGCCGGCTATCACCCGGTTACTCAACCCTGCACCTTAGAGGCTGCTGCCCTATGTACACAGACATATAATCACTGATCACTTTAATAATGGAACACTGGTCACTTTAATAATGTTTATATACTGTTTTACTCATTTCATATGTATATACTGTATTCTAGTCAATGCCATCCTATTCAACTATTGCTGTGTATATACTATTCTATCCTACGTATTCTACAGGAATACGAATTATTCTATCCACATACTGTCCATAATGTGTATACATCCCATATATATTTATACTCTGGACTCCGACGTTGCTCGTCCTAATATTTATATATTTCTTAATTCCATTCTTTTACTTTTAGATTTGTGTGTTGGAGCTAAGAACACAAGCATTTCGCTACTCCCGCAATAACATCTGCTAAATATGTGTATGCAACCAATCAAATGTGATTTTATTATGATAGGGATAGGTGTGACCCCCGCTGAGAAAAGCAAGATCACGGTGGCGTGTAAAACAAATTAATCCCACCTCTAATTTGTGTTCGCTTTAACTAATGAAACACTGAATGTTTTTTCACATTTTGATTATTCTATGAGATATCACTTGATTGAATATGTACAGGCAAGTAAAGGCTACAGTCTTTTTCTAATCTTTCTCATGTGTAAGTGTATGAAAACCCCACCTTCAGCTCTCACTCACAGCCCTTTCAAACCCCTGCAGGTATTGATTGGTCATACTGTATGTCAGCTGTACCAACTTACAATTCTATGATTGACATATGCCATTTTTCATACACATCAACAAACAGAGCACAAATATAGTCGTTTCAGAAGTGTTGTCTGTTTAAAAAAATATGGATGGTTTATTTGACCCTACTGCAACAAGCATATAATCCGTCACCATGTTGTCCAACTTCTCAAATTAGTCAATGGAACACAGTTTACATCCAAATATGAACAGTGGTATATTTTCTTATCAACACATTCATTCACTTCTCATTCTACAAACATAGTTGAAAAGACACACGTTATAGTATTCATTTATCCTGTCAAATACTTGGTTAAGTGGGTTTTCTAGTCTGAACTGATCACGAAACAGTGGTGGTTTATAACTTGTTCAGAATCTACTGAAAACATTAGACAGTCTAATACAAAAGCCAACCAGTATGGACTGGTCCATAATACTGCCTCTAGAATTATAGCTTATTTACAATCATCTATGAGCTAGCCATCACCAAACAAACTTATGAAAGAAAAAACTACTGAACAGAAACAGAGAATCTCATTAATTGATTGTGCTTTTTAACCCACAAAAAACAATTATTCATAAAAAAAAAAGATATATCAGACTGAGGCGCCAATAAAAGTGCTAGTAACATTAGTTTTGATTTATTTTAAGATCTCTCTACAGCTATGCGTAAGACTGGAGTTATAAACGGTACTTTTTTATATTTATATATTTATAAAGTTATTACAGGGCCATCCCGGTTTCATCACCCGTGGTTGTGTTGTTGTGTCTTTCAACAACAGATGTCATGGAGACATCGATTGGATCAGTCCTTTTACCATGCAAAGCCCTTTGGAGTTGCAGTAGAAGTTCAAAGAAGAAGAGATTTGTATCGGACGGTTGGACAGAGGCTGCCTGAGCCTCGGTATTCTCATATAATCCATGTCCCCTCATATGAATCACATCCCAATTGTGTAGGACAAGGGGAGCTGGTGCTTAGGGCATAACGGGAATAACAGTAGAGTAGTTTGCCAATTTCACAGCACACTACCACAGCTGATCCATGTTTATCTGGAGTCAGTCTTTATGGAGTTTGTGTCTACTGAAGAACTCCAGTCTATTACAGTACAGTACTTGGTTCTGGTGAAGTCCGGAAAGGCAAAGAGATGAGGGTATACCTTTTCATTGACTTAGCAGGAAACTAAGCTACAGAGTGTGATTTCCCACCTTACAAACATAGTCAGTCTCTTCCCTTCCCTTTCACCCCACAAACATACTCCTTCTCATACTAGCGATTAGCTGTTAGCGAGTTAACATTACCAGTTGCCTCACTACCAAGCTAGCCGTTAGCGTGCTAGCTAGCGTTAAACAGTCACTTCGGTCTTGCTGCCTGTGCGATAGTGCTGCTGCTGCTGCTGTTGCTGGTGGTGCTGTTGGGGGATGTAGTGGAGCTGCTCCACAGTGTGGGTCCTTCTAGAGGCAAACTGCTGCCTCTTATTAGTCGTGTGGTTCATGGCTAGTGTGTTGGAGTGTCCCCCTGGTCCTGGTCCTGCTCCGCCCCCCGCTCCTGCGTTGTTCGAGGCACTGGGATGGGAGTGCATTTTGGTCATCTTGTAGCGGTCCATGAGTGGCGTCGTCGGCATGAACACGTCCGGGTGCGAGATGGCGTGCGACATCAACTTGTCGTTGTTGCCCCGGAAACCACCGGACACACTGCCGACTACACCGCGCTTCAGCGACATCATCATTTTGTCCGGCGAGATCAGAGGATCCTGAGATAGCAGGCGGTCTTGGGAGTACAAGCGGTCTTGCGAGTAGAGGCGGTCTTGGGAGAAGTGGCGGTCTTTAGGGTACATGTGGTCTTGTGATTGTAATAGCCTATCCTTGGAGTACATGCGGTCCTTGGAGTACAGCCGGTCCTGGGACATCAAGCGGTCCTGAGGAAGCAGGCGTTCCTCGGACCTCAGCCTCTCGGCAGACAGTAGCTGCTCATCAGACAGGATTCGTCCTCCATGCTCGGTCATCCCCATCCCGTAGGAGATGCTGTAGTCTTGCTGGGGGCCTCGGTGTGGGGACAGGACCCGGTCCTGGGACATGGCCCTCTGGACTCGGGGAGGCCTCTGTCTCCTGGGGGCCTGCTGGGCCTGGGGCTGCTGGGGTGGGGCCTGGGCCACCTGGGGCTGGGGGGGCTGGCTCTGGAGCTGCTGCTGCTGCTGGAGGAATGGATGAAAATACAGTCAACTCCTGATAAATTCAATGGCTTGGGACTTTTGTAAATGCATGCACTAAACAGCCACCACTGCATAAATAAAATGCAGATTTATACGTAGATACAGTACTTGTTCCTGGTTCATTTTGATGACGTGTAAGGGCAGGGTGCTTCTGGCTGCCAGGTCAGGGAGGTGACGCTTGCGGGTGTAGTAGTCGTCGACATCTTTATCCGCTGTGGAGAGACGGAGAGGGAGACGGAAGAGGGGGATTAGGAGAGAGAAAGAGGGAGGGAGAAGGTAGAGAGAGAGTAGGAGGGAAAGAGAGAAAAGGGAAGTAAAGGAAATAGAATAGAGGGTCTGAAGGTTGCTCCGAGAATATGACAATTCTGGCCCCATCTATGATTCTACTGGCATTTCTGGCGTTGCGTAAAAGTCTGTTAACAAACAGTGTCATACTGCATACACCACACAGAAATGTCATACACAAAGGCTAATTGAAATGACGATAGATCACATTACATGGATGAAAATTCATCTGCACGTTCATGTATTATCAAACCAAACATGGATAGAGGTTGTGTACAAGTACAGGTCTAGAGATATGTACATGCCTCCAGATTGTCTTGGCAGGATGTGTGATATCACACCCTCACACCTTGTATGTGTTATAAAGGAGACTCACTGGGAACCATGCTTCAACCATTAGTCATACGTACGGATTTGACATAGTCAGACACACACAATCACATGCGCTACACACACACACACACACACACACACACACACACAGACACATACACACAGATGTACACACACACACACACACAAACATCCAGTCAAAAAATATATAAAAACATAATATGTTTTATGGTCACATAATATGTTTTATGGTCACATAGGTGCAGTGAAATGTTTTGTTTTACAGGGTCAGGCATAGTAGTACGGCACCCCTGGGGCAAATTAGGGTTAAGTACCTTGCTCAAGGGCACATCGGCAGATTCTTCACCTTGTCGGCTCCAGTATTAGAAAACACGGTTCCTAGCCCAACGTTCTAACCGCTAGGCTACCTGCCGCCCATGACTAAGTAAAGCTGCTGCAGAAATGATATATATAGAAAAAATGGAAACCTTTAAAGTTCACGCCCAAAAATACAAACGTCACTGGACAGTTGTCTTCCTTGGAGTCTGTTCTTTTTCACTTTGGCTTTGAATGTTTTACTGCTAAAGTGAGATGGAGATGAACTTTAATAACATGAATCCGTTAATAATATTAATTATTCATGAATTAATAATAAAACACCTCTCCAGAATCCAGAGAACAAGAATACACCATTGTAGAATATATCCAGCTGCGTCAATTATGGTCACAAGGCTTCTAATACACCTCAGGCTGATCACTCCTTTCACACAAATGTCAATTATGACAGGGCGCTAAAAGGGGATTAGCTAAAGCGTATTACCAGATGAATAACAAAAATATACATATATATAAAATATATATAGGCTTTTAATTGGCATGAAATATATGTGTGTTATTTAAGAAATTAGTCTGAATCGGTTAAATATACATCTCACTAATGAATAAAAGAGCAAAGAAAAGAAAGATGTCATCATTAATTCTCTAAAGCTGTTTTTTTTAGATTAGTGAAAAATGTAATGCGTTTGAATTCCCTATTGGGAAGAAGGCAAAAACTCTTCTGAAAAAGGAATGAATTAATAACTTATGATATGTACTGTGCAGAGACACTGTATGCTTTACTTTCAATTTATACATCAATTTATATTAATTAGTAGACGCTGAGATTTGCCATTTCATTTTTCCAATAAAGGAAATGCGGCTCTATCTCGCCTCTGGCTCTATCCTACATTATCTATCAGTAGAAAGATGCCTTTTGGCTATTTGCTGTTGCAAATGATTTGCTTTGGAAAAAGATAAAAACAGCTAGGCCGGCATTGCCTGAGGACAGTTTCAAGTTTTAACATGGCGGCAGAGATTATTCTATGGCTTTGACTGGATTGTGGGACTCGACACAATAAAAACTGTTAAACAAATCAGCTTTCCAGAATAACAACAACAACAACATTCACCATGCATTTTGTAACATTACTTATTGAGACAATTTCCCAAGCACTGACATTTCCCAAGCAATGACATAGCATGTTCCAATCAATATGCAGTCCGATTTCTATTGGACATTAACAAGCACAAGAGACACCTGAGACTGGCACATGTATAACGATTTTGACCCACTCTAGAGATAGCTAGCACTGATGGGATCAATTGTAGACTCAGATCCTTCACTTTGGAATACATTTTATGGATTTCAAGTCTCCCCATTAGACCCTGTAAACTCGATAGGTGCTTTTTTTTTGGTTGAATAGATCTCGCATTTGTGTGTGTGTGTGCGCTGTATGTTGACTGAAAAATAATAAAAATCCACTACAGAAGTTTTAGCAGCACCGACTTTGAGTTGTACAATAGATTCAGATCGCTCCCGTTGGTCCCGTGTGGCTCAGTTGGTAGAGCATGGTGCTTGAAATGCCAAGGTTGTGGGTTCAATTCCCACAGGGGACCAGTATGAAAATGTATGCACTCACTACTGTAAGTGACTCTGGATAAGACCATCTGCTAAATTACTCAAATGTAAGTAGGACAGCAATGATGCAATTCCACAAGCCTTAAGGAATATTTGCGTTCCCCTCAATATGAAGAGATGAAGCCAGTGTAGTACACTGAATCAATACATAGCACAGAGCTTAATGCCGTTAAATGCTCACACTGAGAAATGGTGGCTGCTGCTTTTCTAAAGAGAAATCTTTAAGGGGAGAGAGTGACTGTGTGGTGTATTGGAATGGAATACCAGTGACTCACGGTTTTGAGGAGCTGAATGAAATGTGTATTTTTAATTGTCTGTGCCCTCTCATCCAGACACTCTGTGTGCTTTCTGGAGTGAATGCTGATACACAGGCACTGAATATTAGGACCCTTTCAGAGAAAGATAACTTAACCTTTATTTTTAAGTATCCTACCAATAGCCTTTAGCCGTATCCTTATTATATTCCTCCTCTGTTCCTCTGGTGATGTAGAGGTTAACCCAGGCCCTGTAACCCACAGTATCATTCCTACTCCCCAGGCACTATCATTTGTTGACTTCTGTAACCGTAAAAGCCTTGGTTTCTTGCATGTTAACATCAGAAGGCTAATCTAGATAGAACTGCCAAAGGGGGCGGAGTTGCAATCTACTGTAGAGATAGCCTGCAGAGTTCTATCATACTATCCAGGTCTGTGCCCAAACAGTTTGAGCTTCTACTTAAAAAATCCACCTTTCCAGAAATAAGTCTCTCACTGTTGCCGCTTGCTACAGACCCCTCTCAGCCCCCAGCTGTGCCCTGGACACCATATGTGAATTGATTGCCCCCCATCTATCCTCAGAGTTCGTACTGCTTGGTGACCTAAACTGGGATATGCTTAACACCCCGGCCGTCCTACAATCTAAACTAGATGCCCTCAATCTCACACAAATGATCAAGGAACCTACCAGGTACAACCCTAAATCCGTAAACATGGGCACCCTCATAGATAATCATCCTGACTAATTTACCCTCTAAATACACCTCCGCTGTCTTCAACCAGGATCTCAGCGATCACTGCCTCATTGCCTGCGTCCGTAATGGGTTCGCGGTCAAACGACCACCCCTCAAACACTTTAGCGAGCAGGCCTTTCTAATTGACCTGGCCCGGGTATCCTGGATGGATACTGACCTCATTCCGTCAGTAGAGGATGCCTGGTTGTTCTTTAAAAGTGCTTTCCTCTCCATCTTAAATAAGCATGCCCCATTCAAAAAATGCAGAACTAAGAACAGATATAGCCCCTGGTTCACCCCAGACTTGACTGCCCTTGACCAGCACAAAAACATCCTGTGGCGTACTGCATTAGCATCGAACAGCCCCCACAATATGCAACTTTTCAGGGAAGTCAGGAACCAATATACACAATCAGTTAGGAAAGCAAAGGCTAGCTTTTTCAAACAGAAATTTGCATCCTGTAGCACTAACTCCAAAAAGTTTTGGGACACTGTAAAGTCCATGGAGAATAAGAGCACCTCCTCCTAGCTGGCCACTGCACTGAGGCTAGGAAACACTGTCACCACCGATGAATCTACGATAATCGAGAGTTTCAACAAGCATTTTGCTACGGCTGGCCATGCTTTCCACCTGGCTACCCCTACCCCGGCCACCAGCTCTGCACCCTCCGCTGCAACTTGCCCATGCCCCCTCCCCGCTTCTCCTTCACCCAAATTCAGACAGCTGATGTTCTGAAAGAGCTGCAAAATCTGGACCCCTACAAATCAGCTGGGCTAGACAATCTGGACCCTTTCTTTCTAAAATTAGCCACCGAAATTGTCGCAACCCCTATTACCAGCCTGTTCAACCTCTCTTTCGTATCGTCTGAGATCCCCAGAGATTGGAAAGCTGCTGCGGTCATCCCCCTCTTCAAATCGGAGGGCCTGTTGTCTGGACCTCTGGCAGTCTCTATGGGGGTGCCACAGGGTTAAATTCTCGGGCCGACTCTATTCTCTGTGTATATCAATGATGTCGCTCTTGCTGCTGGTGACTCTCAGATCCACCTCTACGCAGACGACACCATTTTGTATACATGTGGCCCTTCATTGGACACTGTGTTAACAAACCTCCAAACGAGCTTCAATGCCATACAACACTCCTTCCGTAGCCTCCAACTTTGTAAAACTAAATGCATGCTCTTCAATCAAACGCTGCTTGCACCCTCCCGCCCGACTAGAATCACTACTCTCGGCGGGTCTGACTTAGAATATGTGGACAGCTACAAATACCTAGGTGTCTGGTTAGACCATAAACTCTCCTTCCAGACTCACATTAAGCATCTCCAATCCAAAGTTAAATCTAGAATCGGCTTCCTATTTCGCAACAAAGCCTCCTTCACTCATGCTGCCAAACGTGCCCTCGTAAAACTGACTATCCTACCGATCCTTGAGTTCGGCGATGTCATTTTCAAAATAGCCTCCAACACTCTACTCAGCAAATTGGATGTAGTCTATCACAGTGCCATCCGTTTTGTCACCAAAGCCCCATATACTACCCACCATTGTGACCTGTACGCTCTTGTTGGCTGGCCCTCACTACATATTCGTCGCCAAACCCATTGGCTCCAGGTCATCTATAAATCACTGCTAGGCAAATCCCTGCCTTATCTTAGCTCATTGGTCACCATAGCAACACCCACCCGTAGTATGCGCTCCAACAGGTATATCTCACTGGTCATCCCCAAAGCCAACACCTCCTTTGGCCGCCATTCCTTCCAGTTCTCTGCTGCCAATGACTGGAACGAACTGCAAAAATCTCTGAAGCTGGAGACTCTTATCTCCCTCACTAACTTTAAGCATCAGTTGTCAGAGCAGCTTACTGATCACTGCACCTGTACACAGCCCATCTGTAATTAGCCCACCCAACTACCTCATCCACATATTGTTATTTATTTTGCTCATTTGCACCCCAGTATCTCTATTTGCACATCATCTTCTGCACATCTATCACTCCAGTGTTAATACTAAATTGTAATTATTTTGCACTATGGCCTATTTATTGCCTTACCTCCATAACTTACTACATTTACACACACTGTATATATATTTCTATTGTGTTATTGACTGTATGTTTTGTTTTACCCAATATGTAACTCTGTGTTGTTGTTGTTTTTATCGCACTGCTTTGCTTTATCTTGGCCAGGTCGCAGTTGTAAATGAGAACTTGTTCTCAACTGGCTTACCTGGTTAAATAAAGGTGAAATTAAAAATAAAAAAAATATTTAAAAAACCTACATTTTAAGGGGTGTATGGTATAATCCTTCATAAACGTATGCCAGTCAAGTAACGAGTCGAGTGACGAATGCAGAGTTTTAACATGCCAGAGCAGGCATTAACTTATGCATTTGAGTTTTTAACATGCAGGTCATTGAGCGAGGCAGTGGGAGCCCTGTCAGCGTTTCTGCTAATGGTGGACTATGCTGTGGCGAGGACCTACTCAGTCTCTTGAGGGAGGAGTATCTGTTGAGGTCGGCCTTGACGGCAGCCTCGTAGGTGGGTGGCAGGTGGGACAGGCTCTGGAAGGAGCGTGAGAAGGACAGGTCATACGGCTCCGTCTGCGAGGTCAGGATGCCACTCATCCTAGTGTTCTCTGGGGAGACACAGCAAAACAAACAAAAGGGAAAATGGGCAGGCTTCCTAAAACATATCCGGAGTCAGACCAAAGGCAACGATGGCAGAGCACAGCTGCTGAGGAAGGGAGGGAGGGGAGTGAGGGGAGGTGGTCATCCAACAGGAACTTGTTTAGAAAGCGTTTGGTGGAGTCTGGGAGGTGGAGGGTGGGCTGAAAGGAGAGGGGGGTTAGGGGACGTGGGTTGAGAGAGGTGGTCATTATGCACTCTGGGATTGTTTGGCACGGAGGAGGTGACAACGGACCAAAAACAACACCACATCAAACAACGGATGTCTGCTTCAGAGTGACCCTGTGGGGTGGGGAGTGGGGTGGATAAGAGGGGTGGGGAGAGGGATGGGGAGTGGGGTGGGAGAGAGGGTGGGGTGGAGAGAGGAGGGGTGGAGTGGGGGGGTGGAGAGCGGGGTGGGGTGGGAGGGAGGTGGGGAGGGATGGGAGTGGGGTGGGGAGGGATGGGGAGAGGGAGGGGTGGGGGGGCGGAGAGGGATGGGGGAGAGGGATGGGAGTGGGAGGGGGGAGGGATGTGGGGGGGGGAGAGGGATGTGGGGGTGGGATGGGGGGGGGAGGGATGTGGGGGTGGAGAGGGTTGGGAGAGGGATGGGGGTGGGGTGGGTGGGGAGAGGATGTGGGGTGGGGGGGGGGGAGAGGGAGTGAGGGTGGGGGATGGGGGGGGAGTGGGGTGGGGTGGAGAGAGGATGGGGTGGGGTGGGGGGGGTGGGGGATGGGGTGGGGAGTGGGGTGGGGAGTGGGGGGGGTGTGGGGGGATGGGGAGGGTGGGGAGTGTGGGGTGGGGGGGAGGGATGTGGGGGGGTGGGGATGGGAGGATGGGGGGGGGGGTGTGGGGGAGTGGGGTGGGGGGTGGGGAGTGGGTGGGGAGTGGGGTGGGGAGAGAGATGGGGAGTGGGTGGGGGATGGGGAGAGGGATGGGAGTGGGGTGGGGGAGGAGGGTTGGGGGAGGGGATGTGGGGGGGGGAGGGATGGGGAGTGGGGGGTGGGGGACGGTGGGGAGGGGAGGGAGTGGAGAGAGGGATGGGGAGGGGGTGGGGTGGGGTGGAGAGAGGGATGTGGGGTGGGGTGGAGAGAGGGATGGGGAGTGTGGTGGAGAGAGGGGTGGGGTGGGGTAGGGATGGAGAGAGGGATGGAGAGTGGGATGGGGTGGAGTGGAGAGAGGGATGGGGAGAGGGGTGGGGTGGGGTGGAGAGAGGGATGGGGAGAGGGGTGGGGTGGGGTGGAGAGAGGGATGGGAGTGGGGTGGAGAGAGGGATGTGGGGTGGGGTGGGGAGAGGGATGTGGGGTGGGGTGGGGAGAGTGATGAGGAGAGGGATGGGGAGTGGGATGAGGAGAGGGCTAGGAAAGGGCAGCAACCCACTCATCTGACTGATGCGATGTGATGCCAGAGAGAGAGAGAGGGGCATACTGGGACTCTGGTCCCTCTCTCCCTCTCTTTCTCTCTCTCTTTGCCCTTTTCCTTTCAAACTCCCCTCTCTCTATCCTGCTCCTCTCTCTCCTACTCTCTCCTAGCTCCCGCTCTCTCTCCTAGCTCCCGCTCTCTCTCCTAGCTCCCGCGCTCTCTCCCCCTGACTACTCTCTTTATCCCTCCCTCTCTGCATCCCTCTCCCTCTCTCTCTCTCTCTCTCTCCCCTGCTGGCTGTGAGTCTGTCACACAGAGCAGTGGGCAGCAGGGTGCGGCTCAAGTCCAGGCTCCAGCAGCCAGATAAAATTAGAGGGATGGGTGACTGCTGCAGGAGAGAGTTGGGGGGGGGGGGGGGAGAATGAGAAGTTTGAGAAGGACAGATGACAGCAGGGGTCCGGAGAGAACTGTGGGGGGGTGAGTTTTGGGAGGACAGAGACCCAGCTGTGAAAGAAGTGTCTGCAATACTCTCTCCACACAGGGAAAATAGACTCACACTGTGACATGCTGTTAGCTACCTCCATAACCAGAAACACACGTCACTGCTAAATCACCACGCACAGTACAGCCACACCACGGACTATGTGGACGGGGGAAGGTACAAAGGTTGAAGGTTGGGTGAGTGTGTGGAAGGGTGTGGGGGTGAATGGAAGGGTGCGTGTGTGAGTTCATATATGTGGCTTTATGTGTGACTTACCCCGTCTCAATGATCGGTGAGCTACCCCACCCAAGGGGAAAACAAACAGTTCAGAAACATGTTGATGGTGTGAAACAGCATTCAGACCAAACCCAACCAACACACACCCCACCAACACACACCTCATTCAACACCATCAGTCCAGCAATTAGCTCTGGATAAAAACCAGTGATGTATATAATTTTTATGTATTTGGAACAGACCAACATCTAATGTGCCTTTAGATATAGTAATAATTTGCCTTATATGGGCAATGAACATATTTATTTACACCCTCTTTAATTGACAGAAAGTCAGCAGTTGCTTCACACACAGAGGATATCAGAGGTTGCACTAGCTATATAGCCAGCCTTATCTAAGCAACACAGCACACTGGCATACCAAGCCCTTTTATGTGGCTTGTGATCAAAGCGTGTTTGTTCGATGTGTTGTCAGAATGGATTTCTCATGTTTCCCATAGAATTCATAGGGATTTCTTTCATGGCTCACTCATCTGGTTTAGCAGTGTGTAATGCAACACACATTGAATTGACACACACGAGCAGATGTGTTACGACTACAGAATCTCCTTAAAACTCAACGGAAGCACTGGAGGGGAAGGCTTCTATGCAGGGTTGAGCAGACACTGAACAAGCCAGAGAGGCCAATCCAATGTTAAACAAACACAAAGACATTGGATTTTCTCTCTTTTTCTTTCTTCTTTATCCTCGCCTCACCCTTTGTCCTTATGCAACCAGCACTCTTCCTCATATCTGTCCATCAGCCTCTATCCCCCCTAAACCCAGCTCTTGTGAATGAATAGAGAAAATTGGCAGAAGAAAATCCGTAAATGTAATGAAGCTGGGGGTGATTTCCTCACAGAGAGAAGGAGTTACAGTAATAGCACTCCATCTTCTAATGACCGGGTCAATCATCTGAGGAGGAACGTGTTCTATGGTAGAACGCTATAGCTGGGACACCTTGACCTTAAAAGGACGTTAACTTGATGCCCAGCCGATCGCATTTCCTTTTAGTAGGTGATAGACAGTGGCTAGGCAGATATTCATTTGTTTTTTATTCACTGCATTCAAAAGAATACATGGTCATGATGATGAAATGTGACACTTCTATGATTCTAGTGTTAATAAAAATATACACTACCGGTCAAAAGTTTTAGAACACCTACTCATTCAAGGGTTTTTCTTTATTTTTACTATTTTCTACATTGTAGAAAAGGACACTAAATGACATCAATAATAAGAAGAGACTTGCTTGGGCCAAGAAACATGAGCAATGGACATTAGACCGGTGGAAATGTGTCCTTTGGTCTGGAGTCCAAATTGGAGATTTTTGGTTCCAACTGCTGTGTCTTTGTGAGACGCGGTGTGGGTGAACGGATGATCTCCGCATGTGTAGCTCCCACCGTAAAGCATAGAGGAGGAGGTGTTATGGTGTGGGGGTGCTTTGCTGGTGACACTGTCTGTGATTTATTTAGAATTCAAGGCACATTTAACCAGCATGGCTACCACAGCATTCTGCAGCGATACGCCATCCCATCTGGTTTGCGCTTAGTGGGACTATCATTTGTTTTTCAACAGAACAATGACCCAACACACCTCCAGGCTGTGTAAGGGCTATTTGACCAATAAGGAGAGTGATGGAGTGCTGCATCAGATGACCTGGCCTCCACAATCCCCCGACCTCAACCAAATTATTATAATAAAATATGCCATTTAGCAGACGCTTTTAGCCAAAGTGACTTACAGTCATGCGTGCATACATACTTTTTTTTGTGTATGGGTGGTCCCGGGGATCGAACCCACTACCTTGGCGTTACAAGCGCCGTGCTCTACCAGCTGAGCTACAGAGGATGAGCTACAGAGGACCACATTGAGATGGTTTGGGATGAGTTGGATCGCAGAGTGAAGGAAAATCAGCCAACAAGTGCTCAGCATATGTGGGAACTCCTTCAAGACTGTTGGAAAAGCATTCCAGGTGAAGCTGGTTGAGAGAATGCCAAGAGTGTGCAAAGCTGTCATCAAGGCAAAGGGTGGCTATTTGAAGAATCCCAAATATAACATATATTTTGATTTGTTTAACACTTTTTGGGTTACTACGTGATTCCATATGTGTTATTTGATAGTTTTGATGTCTTCACTATTATTTTACAATGTAGAAAATAGTAAAAATAAAGAAAAACCCTTGAATGAGTAGGTGTTCTAAAACTTTGACCGGTAGTGTATATTTTCAATAAGAGAATGGATTTTGAGAAATTGAAGAGTAGGTTGGCATCAGTGGTAGCATATATTTGTGTTTCAAAGTTAATTCCCCAAATCTGGGCTATATTTTTCAAGAGAATGGCCTGGTTTGGAAAAAAAGTGTTTTAGTGACATTTGTCTTTCTACAAATAACTGTGTGGCTCTGTTTCAACATCCACACTAAGTAATGTACTGGGCATGAATTCTAAGTAGTAGCCTATGCTAGAGTGGATATTGGAACCTAACCCTGTGTCTGGATGCTAGTGCTGTTAGCTGTCCTTACCATTCTGGGTGCGTGTTGGGCTACCTAGAACCACATGGTTGTAGTTGTGCTGATGGGTACCTGTGAAAACAGCAATGGAGAGGATCATTCAATGTGCATGAGATAAGCATATCAGATATTGTATCTGATGTAAAGTAATGACATGGTTAATACAAGCAGAGAGCTAGTATTGGGATCATTAAAGGAATAGCTCATCCCGAAAGAAAAGTTTGTCAGATGTTTTATACCTCAAAAGTGGTCTTTAAACCAAGCTTAATAAAAAAAACATCTGATAAACATAGATTCAGACGTAGAGAATCCATTTAACATCCTCTAGCCAAGGACATGGATATCATGGTGAAGCAAGATGGAGAGAAAATAGTAAAGAGAAGAAGGGCAGGTAAAATAGGAGCAGGATGGAGAGCTGGAGACTCCTCAGTCCCGTTGTAACCTAGCCGTTACCCTGTAAAGAACATTGGAGCGTTTCAAACTGGAATCATTGAGGAGACAGTGCAGAAGAGGAGCAGCATACACACTGAGCATGTCTTAATCACATACACACTGACATTGGACATGAGTGTCCTTGTTCTTTCAAAAATTGTATTATTGAAAATGAAAAAGACACCATAATAAAATAATAATATATCTGAACATCCCATTTGAGTTTGACCGTTCCTCGTGATATTATGATCTTTCGATTCAGACATTGTGGGATAACAGTGAAGGTGAGAGTGCTTGGATGAACATGTTGTAACATTGCACCCTTCTGCATAAGCCCCTGTCACTTAACCAACCATCCATCCAGACCATGTGGATTGTTTTGGGTTGAAATTAGATGGCAGCGATGGCAGAGAGATGGCCGCTTTAAAGATCCCATCGTATTGAGTCAGGTGATAAATGGCAGCTATTGTGTGTATATGTGTGTGTGTGTGTGTGTGTGTGTGTGTGCGTGCAGTGTTGGAAAAAGTACCCAATTGTAATACTTGAGTAAAAGTAAAGATACCTTAATAGAAAATGACTCAAGTAAAAGTGAAAGACACCCAGTAAAATACTACATGAGTAAAAGTCTAAAAGTATTTGGTTTTAAATATACTTAAGTATCTAAAGTAAAAGTAAAAGTATAAATAAGTTCAATAGCCAGGGGCACACTCCAACATCAAATGTGTGTTTAGTGAGTCCGCCAGATCAGAGGCAGTAGGGATGACCAAGGTAAGTGCGTGAATTTGACAATTTTCCTGTCGTGCTAAGCTTTCAAAATGTAACGAGTACTTTTGGGTGTCAGGGAAAATGTATGGAGTAAAAAATACATTATTTTCTTTAGGAATGCAGTGAAGTAGAAGTAAAAGTTGTAAAAAATATCAATAGTAAAGTACAGATACCCAAAAAAACTACTTAAGTAGTACTTTAAAGTATTTTTACTTAAGTACTTTATACCACTGTGTGTGTGTGTGTGTGTGTGTGTGTGTGTGTGTGTGTGTGTGTGTGTGTGTGTGTGTGTGTGTGTGTGTGTGTGTGTGTGTGTGTGTGTGTGTGTGTGTGTGTGTGTGTGTGTGTGTGTGTGCGTGTGCATGCGTAAGAGTGATCCAGGTGAAAAAGCAACAATACTGTAGATAGATGGAAGACTCGCCGCCGAGTGCCGCCGCCGTTGCATTCATTTGACTGTGTGCTGTTGTGCCTGTTTAAAAATGCATTAGTGCCGACTGCTGTAACATCCATTTACATCTGTCACAGAGCTGAGAGGGGAGAGAGGACCCTCGTTCTCACATCATGGGTTTTAATATTTGTTATAGGAAGATGGAATGTGTCATTAGAGTATATGGGCAGTGGGCGTGTATGTGCGTATTTTATTTCTATAAAGAAGAGTTGACAGTTGATGTCAGAGTTTGGTTTCTGGAGAGAGAGACTGTTTGCAGACAAAGTGAAGTCACAGACTTAAGGGCAGGGTTTGTTGAATATATTAATGTATTTAATGTTCTAGGAAAACATCAGACATAAAAACACACACACACACACACACACACACACACACACACCGTGATCTCCATTTTAATTATACTGCTCCATACAGTGAGGGAAAAAAGTATTTGATCCCCTGCTGATTTTGTACGTTTGCCCACTGACAAAGAAATGATCAGTCTATAATTCTAATGGTAGGTTTATTTGAACAGGGAGAGACAGAATAACAACAACAAAATCCTGAAAAACGCATGTCAAAAATGTTATAAATTGATTTGCATTTTAATGAGGGAAATAAGTATTTGACCCCCTCTCAATCAGAAAGATTTCTGGCTCCCAGGTGTCTTTTATACAGGTAACGAGCTGGGATTAGGAGCACACTCTTAAAGGAAGTGCTCCTAATCTCAGCTTGTTACCTGTATATAGACACCTGTCCACAGAAGCAATCAATCAATCAATCTCCACTATGGCCAAGACCAAAGAGCTCTCCAAGGATGTCAGGGACAAGATTGTAGACCTACACAAGGCTGGAATGGGCTACAAGACCATCGCCAAGCAGCTTGGTGAGAAGGTGACAACAGTTGGTGCGATTATTCGCAAATGGAAGAAACACAAAAGAACTGTCAATCTCCCTCAGCCTGGGGCTCCATGCAAGATCTCACCTTGTGGAGTTGCAATGATCATGAGAATGGTAAGGAATCAGCCCAGAACTACACGGGAGGATCTTGTCAATGATCTCAAGGCAGCTGGGACCATAGTCACCAAGAAAGCAATTGATAACACACTACGCCGTGAAGGACTGAAATCCTGCAGTGCCCGCAAGGTCCCCCTGCTCAAGAAAGCACATACAGTGAGGAAAAAAAGTATTTAGTCAGCCACCAATTGTGCAAGTTCTCCCACTTAAAAAGATGAGAGAGGCCTGTAATTTTCATCATAGGTACACGTCAACTATGACAGACAAATTGAGGAAAAAAAATCCAGAAAATCACATTGTAGGATTTTTAATGAATTTATTTGCAAATGATGGTGGAAAATAAGTATTTGGTCACCTACAAACAAGCAAGATTTCTGGCTCTCACAGACCTGTAACTTCTTCTTTAAGAGGCTCGTCTGTCCTCCACTCGTTACCTGTATTAATGGCACCTGTTTGAACTTGTTATCAGTATAAAAGACACCTGTCCACAACCTCAAACAGTCACACTCCAAACTCCATTATGGCCAAGACCAAAGAGCTGTCAAAGGACACCAGAAACAAAATTGTAGACCTGCACCAGGCTGGGAAGACTAAATCTGCAATAGGTAATCAGCTTGGTTTGAAGAAATCAACTGTGGGAGCAATTATTAGGAAATGGAAGACATACAAGACCACTGATAATCTCCCTCGATCTGGGGCTCCACGCAAGATCTCACCCCGTGGGGTCAAAATGATCACAAGAATGGTGAGCAAAAATCCCAGAACCACACGGGGGGACCTAGTGAATGACCTGCAGAGAGCTGGGACGAAAGTAACAAAGCCTACCATCAGTAACACACTACGCCGCCAAGGGACTCAAATCCTGCAGTGCCAGACGTGTCCCCCTGCTTAAGACAGTACATGTCCAGGCCCATCTGAAGTTTGCTAGAGTGCATTTGGATAATCCAGAAGAGGATTGGGAGAATGTCATATGGTCAGATGAAACCAAAATAGAACTTTTTGGTAAAAACTCAACTCGTCGTGTTTGGAGGACAAAGAATGCTGAGTTGCATCCAAAGAACACCATACCTACTGTGAAGCATGGGGGTGGAAACATCATGCTTTGGGGCTGTTTTTCTGCAAAGGGACCAGGACGACTGATCCGTGTAAAGGAAAGAATGAATGGGGCCATGTATTGTGAGATTTTGAGTGAAAACCTCCTTCCATCAGCAAGGGCATTGAAGATGAAACGTGGCTGGGTCTTTCAGCATGACAATGATCCCAAACACACTGCCCGGGCAACGAAGGAGTGGCTTCGTAAAAAGCATTTCAAGGTCCTGGAGTGGCCTAGCCAGTCTCCAGATCTCAACCCCATAGAAAATCTTTGGAGGGAGTTGAAAGTCCGTGTTTCCCAGCGACAGCCCCAAAACATCACTGCCCTAGAGGAGATCTGCATGGAGGAATGGACCAAAATACCAGCAACAGTGTATGAAAACCTTGTGAAGACTTACAGAAAACGTTTGACCTGTGTCATTGCCAACAAATAATTGAATTAAAAATCCTACAATGTGATTTTCTGGAATTTTTTTCTCATTTTGTCTGTCATAGTTGACGTGTACCTATGATGAAAATAACAGGCCTCTCTCATCTTTTTAAGTGGGAGAACTTTTTTTCCCCACTGTATACAGGCCCGTCTGAAGTTTGCCAATGAACATCTGAATGATTCAGAGGAGAACTGGTTGAAAGTGTTGTGGTCAGATGAGACCAAAATCGAGCTCTTTGGCATCAACTCAACTCGCCGTGTTTGGAGGAGGAGGAATGCTGCCTATGACCCCAAGAACACCATCCCCACCGTCATACATGGAGGTGGAAACATTATGCTTTGGGGGTGTTTTTCTGCTAAGGGGACAGGACAACTTCACCGCATCAAAGGGACGATGGACGGGGCCATGTACCGTCAAATCTTGGGTGAGAACCTCCTTCCCTCAGCCAAGGCATTGAAAATGGGTCGTGGATGGGTATTCCAGCATGACAATGACCCAAAACACACGGCCAAGGCAACAAAGGAGTGGCTCAAGAGGAAGCACATTAAGGTCCTGGAGTGGCCTAGCCAGTCTCCAGACCTTAATCCCATAGAAAATCTGTGGAGGGAGCTGAAGGTTCGAGTTGCCAAATGTCAGCCTCGAAACCTTAATGACTTGGAGAAGATCTGCAAAGAGGAGTGGGACAAAATCCCTCCTGAGATGCTTGCAAACCTGGTGGCCAACTACAAGAAACGTCTGACCTCTGTGATTGCCAACAAGGGTTTTGCCACCAAGTACTAAGTGATGTTTTTTAGAGGGGTCAAATACTTATTTCCCTCATTAAAATGCAAATCAATTTATAACATTTTTGACATGCGTTTTTCTGTTTTTTTTTGTTGTTATTCTGTCTCTCACAAAAAAATTTTTTTATTTTTTTATTTAACCTTTATTTAACCAGGTAAGCCAGTTGAGAACAAGTTCTCATTTACAACTGCGACCTGGCCAAGATAAAGCAAAGCAGTGCGATAAAAACAACAACACAGAGTTACATATGGGGTAAAAAAAACATAAGGTCATAAAATACAACAGAAAATATATATACAGTGTGTGCAAATGTAGCAAGTTATGGAGGGTAGGCAATAAATAGGCTATAGTTGCAAAATAATTACAATTAGTATTAACACTGGAATGCTAGATGTGCAAGAGATTATGTGCAAATAGAGATACTGGGGTGCAAAAGAAAAAATATAATATCAGTTGGGTGGCAATTCAGTATGGAGGTAAGGCAAGTGATCGGTATAGTGCCAAACTAATTAAATTAGTAGGAATAAGGTCCTAGATTCAAGGATTTTGCAATCGAGTATGGGTGCAGCAGAAAAATAGAAAGAATGGGAGGAGGTGTTGGGTTGGATGACCTAGATTCAAGTGGGCGTAGACATTAGCCATACGTAAAAGGTTGCTTGACACTGATCTTTGTAGTGGGGAAAGTAAAATTCCAGTCAGAGATTTACAATACGTTTCCTCATGAGCAGAGAAACAAAGAATCGTCGGTTCAACAGGACGGTGTGGCCTCGAATCACACTGGAACTACGCTGGCACTGCAGTGCCCAGATATAAAGACTAACCTCCATAAAATATAAGACCGTACTGCTTGTCATAGGGCAAACAGTAGAACAAGCACTCAGAGGCCATCAAAGTACAGTTTCCTCCTGTAGCTGAAACCCGACACTGTCACTTCCCTTCAGGGCCCAGTCAGGCCCAGATATTGAAAGCACTGAGACCTCCATAGAGAAATAGAGAGAGCCAGTACTGCAGAGATCCCCATAGAGAAACAGTAGAGAGACAGTAGGCTACTACAGAGAGCCCCATAGACAGAGAGAAGTTCTGCTGAGCTGAGAGACCCTGCACTGCACTGGGCCCTAATTAAGAAGGAAGAAGGACCAGTTCAATGATCCCGCCGTAATCAGGGGACCAATTAGTTGTGTTGGAGAGAGACAACACACACACGCATGTGCACACACATGCACACACACATACACACACACACACACCACAGATAGCACATTGGTTCCTTGAAAGTTGTGGAAACTTATGTTTTTGGTTTCACATTGGTTGTGGGAACGAAGCCATACGTTTCCTGACCAGTAAAATTGAATGTTTTTTAAACGTTCTGAGAACAGAAGTGAACATTTCGCCTGTTCTGGGAACACTTATTTTTAGGTTGCAGGGAGGTTCTGAGAACGTGTTAGTCTGGTTCCTTGAAAGTTTTCCTAGGAGGTTTTATTAAGCCTCTGAGAATGGAAATTATGTTATTTTTAGGTTTTTGAATAACTTCCTTAAAACATTCACAGAATGTTTCAATAAGACTTAATACCACTGCTAGCTTTTTCCAAGCACAGATCACACATTTCTTTAGGCATTAATCATGCAAACACATTAATTTTTTATTGTGACACAGCATCTGTGAGATTCTAACCTATAATGTGTTCTCTATCCATGGAATTAGTTCACTGCGCCACCAGGATGGAGCTAGCATGCCATGTTTTGTTACACATACAAAGCTGCTCATTTTAGTCTATTCAAACAGACCCCATTTCAAAGGAAACAAGCACTCATTAAGATCAGGTGTGGCCAATTAGTGGGCGCGGCCAACATACCTGAACACACTTAGGATAGAGAGGGTCTTGTTGATGCTGAGAACAGAATGTATATGTTTTTAAATAATATTCTTAGAACGTTCTCTGAACGTTACTAAAGTTTTCTTGTGGCTTTTATGGAAAGTTTTCTTAACATTCTGAGAAAGGAATGTTTGTTTTTAAATAACATTCTTAAAATGTTCTCTGAACGTTACTAAAGTTGATTTGTGGTTTTTATGGAAAGTTTTCTTAACGTTCTTGCAACAATTTTAGAACGACTTTAAATAAAAACCATGAGGAAACCTGAAGGAAACTTTTTTGCTGAAATTCCCACAGAAGAACATTTTTATTTGAGAACATTCCCAATGTCAAACCAGTTGGAGAACGTTCCTAGAACTACCAAAATGTAAATGAAATGTAACCAAGCTATTTTTTTATGAATGTAGCTGGGTTGGGGTTAGGTCAAAGGCCCAGTGTAGTCAAAACCATGATTTTCCTGTGTTTTATATTTATTTCCACACTATGAGTTTGGAATAATACTGTGAAAATGATGATAATGCCCTTTTAGTGTAAGAGCTGTTTAAAAAGACCGCCTGAAATTTCAGCTTGTTTTGGTGGGAGTTTTGGCCTGCCTGGTGACATCACCAAGCGGTAAATTAGTTAATGGACCAATAAGAAAGAGAGTTCCAAACCTCTCTGCCAGTAACAGCTAGTTTCCTGTTTCCCCATCTCCACTCCCAGACAGTCCTAGCAAAACCTTTGCTTAAGAACTTGCTCTTGCTAAGAAGCTATTTTTGTTTCTTTTTTACCATTTGATTGTTTTCAATTTTACCAATTGAAAACAATCACAGTAAGGTACTTCATTGTTACCCAGAAATGACTTGTTATTGAGATAAAAACGGCTGCATTGGCCCTTTAAAGGAGTGATGGGCAAAATATTGATTGATTTGAGTCATTGTAAAGACATCTGCCTATTAGCTGTATCAGTTATTGGTTCTGCCAGCTGAATGTGATAAGGAGAGAAGGAGATAAGCACTGGGACTGAGCATGTAATTACACTGTAGATTGATTATTCCTGATTGACAGGTTAACCAGGTCTCCAATCTAAATAGCTACAGTGGGTATTTTGTCTGCATCTTGATAATGCAGCTGTACACTTTGTCTGTTGCCAGTCAGGCAGTCATGTTTTCAGCATTCCAAACAAAACGAGATGATAAGCGCATATTTATGCCGGCTTGTGTGGTTCCGTGAGGTATTTGACATCATCTCTCTTCCTGTAGGCACATATTGCATCATATTAATCTGCAGTATTTTCACACCTGATACATCCTGGGATACAGCACATGTGAGCCTGCATACTAACATCCAGATGCCCCAACACTGACTCACTATCCTGACATAACTTATCCTATCACACAAATCATAACATCCAGGAATGTGGGGGTGATAAAATGGTGGGTAACATCAGTGGAGATAAGTGGTAAGTTAACCTTAACACTAATGCTAACCACACTAATATGGCGTAATTGGTGCATACACACCTAGTAATGTATAGCCCACCATTAAATATCTTAGCATGACTCTCTTTCAAACTGAATGCGGCAATTTGAGCACCTTGTTAAAGCTCGGGACTTAAGAATCCTTCTAAACTTCCCGTTAATGTTAATGACATTCTGTGAGAACACTCCAATCCTCAGTAATGAGAACACTCCAACCCTCAGTAATGAGAACACTCGATCCATCAGTAATGAGAACAGTCGATCCATCAGTAATGAGAACACTCGATCCATCAGTAATGAGAACACTCGATTCCCAGTAATGAGAACACTCGATTCCCAGTAATGAGAACACTCCAACCCTCAGTAATGAGAACACTCCAACCCTCAGTAATCAGTGATGCTTTTGAAAAGAGAGAAACAGAAAACAAACAAGGTCATCAGTGAGCATAGGCTGAGCAGCTGTGTATCTACCCCCTAACCCCTCCCCCTCCCTACCACCCAACCCAGATATCCCTAACATCCCCCACCCCTCCAGGGCCCCTCAGGGTGCAGCAGAGCTGGCATACTCAAACTGTTCTCCTTTCCTCCTAATACAAGAGACTGTTCGGAAACACAGTCACGCAACAACCTCCACATTCTCAGGCAATTTGAATCCTTTCACATATGAATTTTAGTTTTGGGATGATTTTGGTTGAAGAGTAAAGGGGTAACATAATTGCCTGACAGTCTGATTATACAATTTCGCTTAATATGAGTGAAAATTATAGGATGACATTTGGTGTAATTGCTCAACCCCTGCCTGATCTTTTCATTCTAAATAATGTGCAATGACTTTTTCACAGATGCATCTTAAATGTATATTTGAGTATTTGAATAAACACATGTGTATGTGCGTGCGCGTGTGCGAAAGGGTGTCAGACAAGGGGTCTCTCTATCCTATTGGCTTTGTTGACATCGAAACACTGCCAACACATCTACCCTGCCCTTCTCCACCCGCTGTCCTCCCCCTCTCCTCCCTCTCTTTTCCACCTCGCTGCGCCACAGGGCTGAGCCACTGTGGACTTGGCATTTAACAACTGACAAAGAGTTTTAACATTTAATCACTAAATGTTAACTGCCAGCTTCATTCAGTACGGTGGGCGAGGAGACTTTATTTTACATGTGGATGGAACATCCTTTACGTTCTGCTTTCCGCTCATCCCAAGCTGGAAACCGCTTATTTCTGACCCAATTGTGGCACAAGTGATAATGGTTGGGAAGTTATATCTAATCCTGCTGCCTCCAAATTTAGACCTATATAACTAATTTTAGACTCAGTGTGCTTAAGTCTCTGGGTGTTAGACTTAAGTACAGCCAGACTTTTATAGACTATAGGCTAATCATTTAGAACCTGACCTAGATTAACTGGCAGAAGACTATGCCAGCTGACAGGGTAATTAAGTCAATAGGGCAAACATATGTTGTTTATAAAAGGTAGTCATATACAGTAGCCTACATTATATAGAAAGGCCAGTAATAGTAGCCTGTTCTGGAATGCCAGTAAACGATGTCAGAATACCAGTAAGAAGTGGGCGGTGTCATGTAAAAATCTTCCCAGCGTGAAATAGTTCCCAATCGTTCTGATTGTGTTGTGATTGTGACATCATGTTGTAAAGTTTCTCACAGCGTGAAAATGTTCCCAGTTCAATAATTGCACGTGCGTCTCTTTATGTGGATGGCAGAGCTCGTGCAGATGTTTCTCTCACACCCTCCCGTAACGCCCAAGTCTTTGCAATTGCCAAAAATCTCTCCTCACATCAACCCTCAGGACTTTGACGTACGAGTCCGGGTGTTTATACGATGACCTCACGCCTCAACAAGCTTCTGATTGGTCGTGTCAATACTCTTGGCCACCATTGATTGGCAGATGTATGAAGCAAATGGGCGTGCCCACAGAACAGTTTTTCGAGGTTGAGGAAGGGTGTGAGAAACATCCGCACAAGCTCAGCCAACCACATAAAGAGATGCGCATGCAATTATTGAACTGGTTAAATTTTCACACTGGGAGAAATGTTACGCATGACGTTACAATCAGAACGATTGGGAACTATTTGACGCTGGGAAGATGTTTACATGAAAGGCGGCAGGTAGCCTAGCGGTTAAGCGCATTGGGCAAGTAACCGAAAGGTTGATGATTCGAATCCCCGGGCCGACTAGGTGATAAATCTGTCGATGTGCCATTGAGCAAGGCACTTAACCCTAATTGCTCCTGTAAATCGCACCGCAGAAGAGCATCTGCTAAAATATAAGTGTTTGTTTTAGAATGGCAGTAAGATGTGTCAGTTCTAGAATGCCAGTGAGCATTCCATCCTCATCGTCTCATCTCTCTCAATAACCCAAAGGCATTTAAGGCTCACTTGCCTCTATAAATGCCAATCTATGGTGACAAATGTGTGTTCATTTAGCAATATGATGGACAATGAATCATCATCTACCAGAGTGACCCGGTGTTGTCACATTATAAAACGTTTTTTTTAAATCTAGGATTCTAGAGTTTCCCTGACACTTACAGAGACCTAGAGAGACCTCACAGTCTCTCTAGACAATGCAGAAAATAATGATGTTCACAACCATGTCTTGGCCTCCTCAAATCACATATAGATAAATAGACAATGTCAGGATTCAGCAACTGGAAAAAATACCTTATCCTCATATTTTCACACCACAACTGTTCCATTAGAACTATACTGAACAAAAATATAAACGCAACTTGCAACAATTTTTACGATTTTACTGAGTTACAGTTCATATAAGGAAATCAGTCAATTGAAATAAATGTATTAGGCCCTAATCAATGGATTTCACATGACTGGGCAGGGGCGCAGCATAGGCCCACCCACTTGGAAACCAGGCCCACCCACTGGGGAGCCAGGCCCAGCTAATCAGAATGAGTTTTTCCCCACAAAAGGGGTTTATTACAAACAGAAATACTCCTCAATTTTATCAGCTGTCTGGGTGGCTGGTCTGGTGGACATTTCCTGCAGTCAGCATGCCAATTGCACGCTCCCTCAAAACTTGAGACATCTGTGGCATTGTGTTGTGTGACAAAACTGCACATTTTAGGGTGGCCTTTTATTATCCCCAACACAAGGTCCACCTGTGTAATGGTCATGCTGTTTAATCAGCTTCTTGATTTGCCACACCTGTCAGGTGGATGGATTATCTTGGCAAAGAAGAAATGCTCACTAACAGGGATGTAAACAAATTTGTGCACAACATTTGAGAAAAATAAGCTTTTTGTGCATATGGAACATTTCTGGGATATTTTATTTCAGCTCATGAAACATGGGACCAACACTTTACATGTTGCATATATATTTTTGTTCAGTATAATAAAGTAATATCTCTCTCTGTGTCAAATATTTTTACATACCAGCTCCCTCGTAGTCCCTCAGACTGTTGGTTGTGAGGACAGGAGAAGGGTCGTAGTGTCGCTAGCAAGGATAAGCACAGATTTATCTGATGTCTTCTTTAAGTAATAAGAAGTAACATCATTCAAAGCTGCCTTTATCCATACCTCTAGAGACCTCCTCTTGGTATGGTGGGGACTGAGAGAGTCCAAGAGCATAGCACATACAAACAAACATACATACATACATACATGGTACAGTACAGTAGCTAGGACCTGGGTAGAAATAGTATTTATATCCCTTCAAATACTTAAGCTGCGCTTGGTTTAGTGGAACCAATTAGATAGTCCCGAAAGTGCCAACATTACCGATCCAGTGTGCTGGGTGAGCTAAAGCAAGCATGCCTAATGTATTAGAGAAAACACTGTTTTGACCCAGGCAGTAGGTTAGGAAAAGACGGACAGTATGGGACAGCTTGGGCTTATTAAGGCACAACACAATGGAATAGAAAAACACTTTACTTGTCAGGTCAACTGCAATGAAAATCATCAAGAGATTTTCTCATTTCCACTTGGCTAAGATCATCTGATAGCCTACTAATAGCACTTAAAAAAAATATTTTTACGCAATAGCTCATCTTTTGAGTGCCACTTTTTGGTCAGGTGTCACTGAAAGTGCCACTATGGGTTAGTTGTGCTTGAGATCTTCTCTCTGGTTGATAGACCTTGCAAATCTACTGTGGGTGAATTTAATTAAGGAATTAGCTTTTTCAAAAGTTTCACAATATGTTTGAGATATTTCAATAAGACAAGATAAACTCCTAATCTTTGCAACTGACCCGACATTCCCACACCACTGATCTAGATGGTCGGCAGCGAATGTACACAAACAGACGTCACACATGATCCACCACACACAGTGACAGGAGCTAGAGGTCAGAGGTTAAAGGTCAGATAGAAGTCAAGGAGAGGCACTTCACCACACAGAACACTCAAGGTGAAAGTCACCCCTCACCACAGATCTAGGATCAGATGACCTTACCCCCAATCCTACCCTAACTATTATGAAGCTGATATAAGCTCTGACCATGTATCAGTGGTTAGGAGCAACCTTTACCTACTCCACACACAACAGCCATTCCTACCATGGTGGCTCTGGGAGCGGACGGGCCAATGCTTTTCACCTAGAAGACAGAAGGAACCAGGCACAGTAAGCAGTGGAGAGGAGAGAGTTTACAACATATCAAGCCAAGAGAGGAGAGCCAGATAGAGCAACAAAATACAACAGCTGAAACATCAGAATATACTATATATTTTCTTTTAAACGTCACATTTGCCAATCAAATAAAGACATGGTATTGTACAGATCACTTCATACGATCACATAAGTAGAAATGAATGTGGGGTATTTGATCAGCCCTTGGTAAAGGTAATGCCACACACACCAAGTAAAATAGAGCTAACACCTGCCAGGACACTACAACACTAGATGAGGTAAAAGGAGAGTATAAAGGAGATGAAATGAGAGGCGGAATGAAGGTTGGATGAATTACGAGAGAAGAAGGGCTGCAGGTTAAAAGGATGGCAAAGAAGGTACAAATCCAATACTAGAGGAGTAGAAAGTGGGGAGCTGAAATGGAGAGATGAAACAGAAGAGGGGGTGTAGAAGTCAGCTGTGTTCTGTACACCATTTTACCAGTGAGGCGTGTGCACACGCACTCACACCCACCCACACACGCGTGTGCACACACATGCATGCACACACACTGTTAGGTGTGTGGCTCCAGCCATGAGACACTTTGAGCCATCATTATCGATTAACCATCAGCTCCACATACAGGCTGCCTCCCACCTCCCACACAGCAACATATACTGATATACAGTGCTTTCGGAAAGTATTCAGACCCCTTTACTTTTTCCAAAATTTTTTAGGTTACAGCCTTATTCTAAGACTGATTAAATAGTTTTTTCCTCTCATCAATTTACACACAATACCCCATAATGACAAAGCAAAAACAGGTTTTTATAAATTTGTGTGAATTTACACAAAATAAAAAACGGAAATATCACATTTACATACAGTGCCTTGCAAAAGCATTCATTCCCCTTGGTGTTTTCCTATTTTGTTGCATTACAACCTGTAATTTAAATGGATTTTTATTTGATTTCATGTAATGGACATACACAAAATAGTCCAAATTGGTGAACTGAAATGAAAAAAATAACCTGTTAAAAAAAATCTAAGAAAATTATAACGGAAAAGTGGTGCATGCATATGTATTCACCCCCTTTACCATGAAGCCCCTAAATAAGATCTGGTGCAACCAATTACCTTCAGAAGTCACATAATTAGTTAAATAAAGTCCACCTGTGTGCAATCTAAGTGTCACGTGATCTGTCACACGATCTCAGTATATATACACCTGTTCTAAAAGGCCCCAGAGTCTGCAACACCACTAAGCAAGGAGCACCACCAAGCAAGCGGCACCATGAAGACCAAGGAGCTCTCCAAACAGGTCAGGGACAAAGTGGTGGAGAAGTATAGATCAGGGTTGGGTTATGAAAAAATATCCGAAACTTTGAACATCCCACAGAGCACCATTAAATCCATTATTAAAAAATTGAAAGAATATGGCACCACAACAAACCTGCCAAGAGAGGGCCGCCCACCAAAACTCACGGACCAGGCAAGGAGGGCATTAATCAGAGAGGCAACAAAGAGACCAAAGATAACCCTGAAGGAGCTACAAACTCCACAGCGGAGATTGGAGTATCTGTCCATAGGACCACTTTAAGCCGTACACTCCACAGAGCTGGGCTTTACGGAAGAGTGGCCAGAAAAAAGCCATTGCTTAAAGGAAAAAAATAAGCAAACACATTTGGTGTTTGCCAAAAGGCATGTGGGAGACTACCCAAACATATGGAAGAAGGTACTCTGGTCAGATGAGACTAAATGAGATGAGCTTTTTGGCCATCAAGGAAAAAACTATGTCTGGTGCAAACCCAACAGCTATTTTCATGTCTCTCCAGAGATGTTCGATCGGGTTCAAGTCTGGCCTCTGGCAGGGCCACCCAAGGATATTCAGAGACTTGTCCTGAAACCACTCATGCGTTGTCTTGGCTGTGTGCTTAGGGTCGTTGTCCTGTTGGAGGTGAACCTTCGCCCCCAGTCTGTGGTCCTGAGCGCTCTGGAGCAGGTTTTCATCAAGAATCTCTCTGTACTTTGCTCCGTTCATCTTTGCCTCGATCCTGCTTGTCTCCCAGTCCCTGCCACTGAAAAACACCCCCACAGCATGATGCTGCCACCACCATGCTTCATCGTAGGGATGGTGCCAGGTTTCCTCCAGACGTGACGCTTGGCATTCAGGCCAAAGAGTTCAATCTTGGTTTCATCAGACCAGAGAATGTTATTTCTCATGGTCTGAGAGTCTTTAGGTGCCTTCTGGCAAACTCCAAGCGGGCTGTCATGTGCCTTTTACTGAGGAGTGGCTTCCGTATGGCCACTCTACCATAAAGGCCTGATTGGTGGAGTGCTGCAGAGATGGTTGTCCTTCTGGAGGTTTCTTCCATCTCCACAGAGGAACTCTGGAGCTCTGTCAGAGTGACCATCGGGTTCTTGGTCACCTCCCTGACCAAGGCCCTTCTCCCCCAATTGCTCAGTTTGGCCGGGCGGTCAGCTCTAGGAAGAGTGTTGGTGGTTCCAAACTTCTTCCATTTAAGAATGATGGAGGCCACTGTGTTCTTGGGGACCTTCAATGCTGCAGACATTTTTTGGTAGCCTTCCCCAGATCTGTGCCTCGACACAATCCTGTCTCGGAGCTCTACAGACAATTCCTTCGACCTCATGGCTTGGTTTTTGCTCTGACATGCACTGTCAACTGTGGGACCTTATATAGACAGTTGTGTGCCTTTCCAAATCATGTCCAATCAATTTAATTTACCACAGGTGGACTCCAATCAAGTTGTAGAAACAGCTCAAGGATGATCAATGGAAACAGGATGCACCTGAGCTCAATTTCGAGTCTCATAGCAAGGGGTCTGAATACTTATGTAAATAAGGTATTTCTGTTTTTTTATTTTAATGAATTTGCTGAATTTTCTAAAAACCTATTTTCGCTTTGTCATTATGGGGTATTGTGTGAAGATTGCTGAGGATTTTCTTTTTTATACAGTGAGGGAAAAAAGTATTTGATCCCCTGCTGATATTGTACGTTTGCCCACTGACAAAGACATGATCAGTGTATAATTTTAATGGTAGGTTTATTTGAACAGTGAGAGACAGAATAACAAACAAAAAATCCAGAAAAACGCATGTCAAAAATGTTATAAATTGATTTGCATTTTAATGGGGGAAATAAGTATTTGACCCCTCTGCTAAACATGACTTAGTACTTGGTGGCAAAACCCTTGTTGGCAATCACAGAGTGGCGCAGTGGTCTAAGGCACTGTATTGCAGTGCTAGCTGTGCCACTAGAGATCCTGGTTCGAATCCAGGCTCTGTCGTAGCCGGCCGTGACCAGGAGACCCATGGGGTGGCGCACAATTGGCCCAGCGTCGTCCAGGATAGGGGAGGGAATGGCCGGCAGGGATGTAGCTCAGTTGGTTGAGCATGGCGTTTGCAACGCCAGGGTTGTGGGTTCAATTCCCACAGGGGGCCAGTAAAAAAAAAATATATATAAAAACATTTTAAAAAGAATGACTCACTAACTGTAAGTCGCTCTGGATAAGAGCGTCTGCTAAATGACTAAAATGTAAATGTCAGACGTTTCTTGTAGTTGCCCACCAGGTTTGCACACATCTCAGGAGGGATTTTGTCCCACTCCTCTTTGCAGATCTTCTCCAAGTCATTAAGGTTTCGAGGCTGACGTTTGGCAACTCAAACCTTCAGCTCCCTCCACAGATTTTCTATGGGATTAAGGTCTGGAGACTGGCTAGGCCACTCCAGGACCTTAATGTGCTTCTTCTTGAGCCACTCCTTTGTTGCCTTGGCCATGTGTTTTGGGTCATTGTCATGCTGGAATTCCCATCCACGACCCATTTTCAATGCCCTGGCTGAGGGAAGGAGGTTCTCACCCAAGATTTGACGGTACATGGCCCCGTCCATCGTCCCTTTGATGCAGTGAAGTTGTCCTGTCCCCTTAGCAGAAAAACACCCCCAAAGCATAATGTTTCCACCTCCATGTTTGACGGTGGGGATGGCGTTCTTGGGGTCATAGGCAGCATTCCTCCTCCTCCAAACACAGCGAGTTGAGTTGATGCCAAAGAGCTCCAATTTCGTCTCATCTGACCACAACACTTTCACCCAGTTCTCCTCTGAATCATTCAGATGTTCATTGGCAAACTTCAGACGGGCATGTATATGTGATTTCTTGAGCAGGGGGACCTTGCGTAGTGTGTTAAAAATTGTTTTCTTGGTGACTATGGTCCCAGCTGCCTTGAGATCATTGAGATCACCCTGCTGTGTAGTTCTGGGCTGATTCCTCACCGTTCTCATGATCATTGCAACTCCACGAGGTGAGATCTTGCATGGAGCCCCAGGCCGAGGGAGATTGACAGTTATTTTGTGTTTCTTCCATTTGCGAATAATCGCACCAACTGTTGTCACCTTCTCACCAAGCTGCTTGGCGATGGTCTTGTAGCCCATTCCAGCCTTGTGTAGGTCTACAATCTTGTCCCTGACATCCTTGGAGAGCTCTTTGGTCTTGGCCATGGTGGAGAGTTTGGAATCTGATTGATTGATTGCTTCTGTGGACAGGTGTCTTTTATACAGGTAACAAACTGAGATTAGGAGCACTCCCTTTAAAAGTGTGCTCCTAATCTCAGCTCGTTACCTGTATAAAAGACACCTGGGAGCCAGAAATCTGATTGAGAGGGGGTCAAATACGTATTTCCCTCATTAAAATGCAAATCAATTCATAATACTTTTGACATGCGTTTTTCTGGATTTTGTTGTTGTTATTCTGTCTCTCACTGTTCAAATAAACCTACCATTAAAATTATAGACTGATCATTTCTTTGTCAGTGGGCAAACGTACAAAATCAGCAGGGGATCAAATACTTTTTTCCCTCACTGTATAATCCATTTTAGAATAAGGCTGTAACGTAACAAAATGTGGAAAAAGTCAAGGGGTCTGAATACTTTCCGAAGGCACTATATGCCTATGTTCCCCACCTCTAAATGACT